TTAAGAGTGGTCTTGATCCTTTGTTGAAGAAAGGGCTGGTGTGAATCAGCCTGAACTGTGCTCAACAGCAGCCTCCACATCTCCCTTGCATTGTGTATGTGTGTTTATATTTAAGATTGCTGTTAGATGTTTTCTTTTGCCTCTGCATTTTAAGCATATTTTTCTCTATTTATTTAATAACATCATTTGAGAAAGAGCATTCAACACAGAGTCCCTTTTTGGGACTGTGCTTTGTCTGGAAGGCAGGTTTATCAGGCAAGGTTATTTTTTAGGAGAGCTGCTGGGATTGATGTTACTCATCAATTGCACGTGCATAAAACCACCTGACAGTTTTAAAAGGCATTCTAATTTATTTTCTTTATTAAAAACCTTTGAGCTGAGTTTGAGTTTCCTAATGCTGTTACTTAATGCTAATTTCTGCTCCTTAAGCATAGACATGTTTGGATATCTAAGTTTATAAAAGGGCATGGATCCATACAATAGTGGAGGGCTGGACCTTGGAGCATCTTCATGAGGCAGCTCTTCTTGCCTCAAGAGGAGGCTAAATGCAGCTTCCAAAGTGAGTAGCTAGTGTTGTCTGTATTACCTGTCAGGGAGACTTTTTGTCTTTCCTTCAGCCTCTGACAGGCCTGTTTGATGCTGTGGACATTGTGGAGACTGTTTCGAATCTGTCTTCTAGAGTCTGCTTCAATACTTGAGTGAAAGACTAGCTGAGAGCCCCATGGAAAGGTGTTCTTTCTACTGAAAGGCTCCTGCTCTTCCAAACTTTAAGACAAATACCAAGGAGAAAGGACCACCAAGACTGTGACAGGCAATCTGCTGCTGTTGCAGGCTTTCATGTTCCAGATAAGAAAAGTTTCACCTTTAGTGTCTGAGTATGTCTATCACAAAGTTCAGCTGTTTTGTTGGGGTAAGCTGGAGGTGGTAGAGTGGTTGTGCTGTTAATAGCTTTTATGCATACTGATGGTTTGCTCTACAAAAGAACAGTAAGTATGAAAAGAGTGGCCTGTGCTTGATAGCTCAGACCTAAATGTGGAGGTAATTAAAAGGGTGCAGATTGACATGAAGAGCAGTTTAAATGCAGACTTATTTTGTTTGTATCAGATGATCCTCTGGAACTTTTAAATTTAAATACTCTATAGTGAAATTATATGTAAATGCATCTCTCTCATCTTTCCTTTTCAGGTGGCTATGGTAGAAGTTCAGCTAGATGCAGAACATGACTACCCTCAAGGTCTCCTGATAGCCTTCAGTGCCTGTACTACTGTTCTTGTTGCAGTTCACCTTTTTGCACTCATGATAAGTACCTGCATTCTTCCAAACATAGAGGCTGTTAGCAACGTGCATAATCTCAACTCCGTAAAGGAATCTCCTCACGAGCGTATGCACCGGCACATCGAGCTGGCATGGGCATTTTCGACTGTCATTGGGACTTTGCTCTTTCTTGCAGAGGTGGTGTTACTGTGCTGGGTGAAGTTTCTTCCTTTAAAGAAGAAAACTGACAATCCACTCCAGAGCAACAGTACTACTACCATCACATCGGGACAGGCAGCAGCCATTGCATCAACGTCTATTATGGTTCCCTTTGGACTGATTTTCATCGTGTTTGCAGTGCACTTCTACAGGTCACTGGTGAGCCATAAAACAGACAGGCAGTTTCAAGAACTGAATGAACTTGCTGAATTTGCACGGCTCCAGGACCAGCTGGATCACAGAGGTGACACCATCTCCTCAGCAGTTACCCATTTTGCGTAAACCTGTACTTAAACCCACTCTTCTGCTTCTGCCTTGTTCTGTTGGCTCCCCTTCGGATGAACTGGTCAAATTGTTGATTACCATTTAAAGAGATTATAAATGTTGTTCTGACCCTTGAGAGAGGAGGAGAAATGTTTTTCATACAACTTTAGCTGTTTGAAGGTATGGTTGGTAGCGTGTGCTCACGCTGTGTGCGCACCCCTCCTCTTGTGAACACTTGTTAATGCTGGATGGAGGCTGTATAAACACATGGAAAATAACATTGTAAATGAGAATGTTTGTTAGGGATGGATAGGGACGCTTCCTTTTTTCCCTCCTCTATGTATTTGATGTTGGCATTTACTAGAAGATACTGCTTGTCCCATCCATATTGCATGGCATGATACAAATTACTTGGGATATGCAGCAATTAGCACTTGGTTTCAGTGCTAGTGCTGTTCTCTCTGGAAGGCCTGACAGATGGGAGAAGTGAAAGCTTTTCACCACCTTCCCCACTAGGTTTTGCTGCCAAGTAATTGTTACTCTACTGATTTCTCCAGCGCCTTTTCACATTGTATAACCTGCTAAACACCCATGACTAGTCTTACTGTGATGTGGTATGGCCACATGAGTAGGAATGAGACTCAACTCTTCCTTGGAAGAAAATAAAAGCAATAACTTTTTAAAGTTCTCACAAGCTGGCACATATTATCTGAAGAGATAATTTGCCTGTTTCCCATTTAGGAATCTCTTTTTAACAAGAAGGAACTAAATGGAAATTATCACTGGATAATTTTTATTGCTTGAAAATCAAAACCACTGCTGTGTTTTTTCCAAGCCAAAGTAGTGATTATTTTATACTTTTATGTTAAAAATGTATTTTTTAATAAATCCTCGAATACAAGCAGCAAAAGGTGCTTTCTCTGCATTGAATTCCCAAGTAATTCGCTATGCCTTGGTCTTCCTTGTTTAGAAAAAGCCTTCTCCTTGCTGAAGTGTTGTATTTAACAACTTGTTACACAGTTTTGGCTTCCAAAGGATCTGGAAGACTCCTTTTCTCTATGTGTATTTATTTATGGGAGTAGGTTATTTGTAATTAATACTGCTGTTTGCTTTCAGAGATGCGTCTGGCAGTGAGGCTACTGTGTTGCTTCTTATTTCTTCTTTAAACAAAACCTTCCTTTTGGTCTCTCAGATTAGAGGTTTGTCCATGAAGGGTTGCAGCACTTGGCCTGGGCTGCTTCAGGAATTCCAGCTATGTCTAGAGGTGGAATTTTTGGAATGCAGTTCTTTTGAACACAAATTGAGGCAGATTTCAAGTCAAAAGGAACAAAACTTGACCTCCCCTTCGTAGCTAACACTGTGGAATGAAAGCCTGGGATTTTGAAATTGGACAGGAGTGAATGTAACAGTACAGTGGGGCTGTACCTGACTGTGCCTGGGCTGAATGTGGCCTCTCATACCCAGCCTTGCCTCAGGTTATCTCAATGCATTTACAAACTGTAGGATGTGTTTACTACAGAGTTAGTGTGGCAGAATGTGTTGAGTACTGAAGCAGCCTCATGAAGCACATGGGACTGATTCTTCCTGTCAGCACCAGCACAGTGAAACGTGTTGACAAGGCTACCTGTGGTGTTTGCGTTCTGAAAAATAGCTATAAAACACAAGCTGCTGGGCTTTTTTCCCCAGCAGCGTTCTTGGTTCATAGGCAGAAAAGAGCTTTCCCCTTCCTATCTTGACAAGTCCTTTTGGCATAGAGGCTAAACTGGATTTTCCCTAGTTCTGTCATTACATTGTGCTTCAGATACATTCTGTTCCTGATGTAAATCTGATGTTGAGAATTGTGACTGCAGTCCCACAGCTGCTTATTCACGGAGCACTGGAAGGATTATGTTAGTGAAGGCATTCATGAAGCAGCATTCCGAAATGTGAAATCTTGGTAGCAGGCACAAAATACATATTCACGTTACAGGAATACTCATCTTTAGGGGAAAAAGACTCTTAAAAGTACTCAGTAAAGGAAGAAAACCTTTCACATTAGAGCCAGGGGTGCTGTCAGGCTTAACAATTACACTTCTGTCCATAAACTGAGTATGTAAAAGTTGCCATGTGATTTTTGAATGAAAGTCCAGAAAATGTATTTTCTAAGTTTATTTTGTAAAATTACTTGATTTCATGGATAAGTAACTGAATTTCTCTTTATTTTGTGGGTCTTTTACTGAGTGCCAGAGAAGTGTGTGGAGTTTTTGTTTGTATAAGAACTGCAAACTTAGAAGCTAGTGGGACAACCTTCTTTTTAACTTTCTCAAGCTGGTAGGTTCTGAGCTAATGGTGCTGTTACTACAGCTGCTTTTCTGACTGTTTTCTGCACTTTAAGCCATGATAATTGAGTATGTGTCTCCTTTTCCACCTGTGGAAATGGTCATGAAAGTTACACCTTGGGCAGTCTTGTGACTGGGTGCCAGAGGCAGTAACCAGACCTGGACAGATGGATCTAAACACTGAGTGCACTTAGAATTTTTTAATCCCTTATTTATACTAATGGTGTTATGCATTTACCTCAAGCCTTTTAAACATTGGTTATTGTATATCTCTTATTTAGATATAAAATACTTCAGTGAAATAAAATGTACTCTATTGTTGCTGATTATGTGTTATCAAGAGGCCTAAAATATACTTGTTTTCTCTATATCCCTTATCTCTTCAGCTATATTGTGCTAATCCCGTGTAGTTCTGAGGATGCCTTACTCATTTCAATTGTAACATGAAGATAAAATTTCCTGTTCACAGAGCCAGGTACAAAGAATATAATTGAAATGCTCTTCCTCCTGTCAGCACTGCTTAAATCTTGGGACTAAGCATGTTGTATTGTTACTCTCTGAGTGCTTAAGCAGACAAGTAGGTTATCTTTCAGCCTGGAAAAGGTGAAGAGTCAAGGGACCAAATGAACTGTAAGCAAGAGGTGATGCTTGGAAGCAGGCATTGATTAGGTGAACTAATGACCCACTTGCCTGGCCAGTTCTTGCCAGCCAGCTGCAGTGCCACCTTCCTTCAGTCTTCTGGGTGATGCTTAGAAGTGGTGCAACTCTGCGTGGCTTAGTCCTTACGTTGGGTAGAACTGGAGCAGCCAGTGCAGTGCTGGTGAGTGCTCTGAGTCCAGCACATGGCTGGCCAAGATGCAGAGCCAGGGTGAGTTCCAGTGCTTGTGGGTTAGGGACAAAATCCAGGGTAATGTTATGGAAAATGCACAGAGAGAGCATGTAAAATGGTATTAATAAAATTATATTAATAAAAACATGATCCGTTACAACTTTAAAAAACATTTTGGGTCATATCAGGACAAGTTTGGAGGGAGCAGGAGGGGAGAATTACTTGACTGTACTTCTGTAGAGCTTTTATAACATATAACAGAGACCCTGCTGCTTAGAGGTTAATGTGAAAGACCTTGGTCCCAACAGGAGTGTGATTTCTTTACAGAGGACATGGGAAAATAGTTACCTTTTCCTTTCCAAAATAAGGGGGAGTGGGAGAAGGCTTCTGAGCTAAGCCCATGTCAGGGGGGTTGGAAGCAGATGATCTTAAAGTCCTTTCTAACCTAACCCATTCTATGACTCTACATGAGCAGCCTTGAGGGAAAAGTAGGGGAAACAAAGACACAATACATCACAGTGTGGATCTGAAGCTTCTTTGAGCAACTCACTTAATTGTGTTCTTATCATGCATCTTCTTTTTCTTCAGCATCCGGTTCTTCGTTTTGGCTGTTGTCAAACATTGCCTGGGCTTCTTGTAAAACACCATCTGGATCAGCCAGTTCGATCTGAATAGAAAGAATACAAATCATTTATGCAGTGTAATTGAAGAAGCTTAAGGTTTTATAGATCTTGATTACTTGAGCAGCAACAGAGAAGCTCCCATGTATTAGGATTTTGTATTGCAGCTTTTCAATTGCTGTTCTACAAACATGCTATACTTCCCTAATTTTATTGGCATGTTGAACATCACTTCGTCTTCTTGGAATACCTCTGTGTGGAGGGGACTGATTCTCCTTTAACAAAAAAATATATTCTTCTCCCCTATAGTTTTAAAAGGTGATTACAGTCACCCAAGTGAATGTTAAAGCAAGAGAGAGTAACCAGACTGTGACTGGATGTAGATTCTTGAGGGGGAAATGCTAAAGCCCTGGCAGCAACTTGTCATCTCGTTCTGACCTGTTTCTATATCCTGATGCTTTCTGAGGGGTTCGTGTGTATCATGGTCTTCCAGGTTTCTTACTGATTTTGTTAGGCTTTCTGAAGCCTTGGCTTCAGTAATTATAAGAGCAGATATCCCAAGTCCACCATGTTGTCTTTCCCCATCTCTGCAGTCATGTTTAAACTCTGCTTTAATGCAACCCCATCATCTACGCACTGGATTCCTTCAAAACTGATGACATTTGCTGTCTAGTTCTCGGGCGTTTTCTGTCCTGTGCATCCCCTCTGTTTGCTCCTTTTTCCTCCAGATGAGGACACACGCTGATGCTTCTCCCATGAAGAAGCTCAGATCCTCACCTTAGCCTCTTGCAGGCAAAAGCTATTTAGTGCATGTCTGGGTTGGGCAGTTTCTAACATTGGCCCTACTCATTCTTTAACAGCTGCTTGTGACAGTAATTTAACAAAAGGTTTATGAAAATCTGAAGTCAATTATCCTTCTTTCATCTGTTACTTCCTTCATATTCTGAGATCAATAAATCTCTTCCAATGGAAAGCTCAATAATGGCAGTGAAAGCTGATGCTTTCTTTTTGCTTAGAGAGCAGAAGTGGGTCATAACTTGGTCTCTGTGGAGTTAAATAAACAGCCAGGGTTGAGCATCCTGCCTTGGCAAAATACTGACCCCTCCCAGGCTCTTTGGTGGGTTGTTGAGGCTGTTCTTGGGTGACCTTTAACAAACCTTATCAGATACATATTTTTAGCTGCAAAAGTACTGCTCTTTTCACTCTTTTTGCAAAACAGAGATTGAGTATTTGGTGTTTGTTATTCTGTGCTGCTGTGGGTGTGCCTAGTACTTACAGGATTAGCTGGTTTGTCAAAAATGCCTGTGCTCAAAGGGCCCTTGCTATAGAAACCAGCCTTGATGAAAAAAGAAGGGTAGATGGAACAGCTGTAAGCTTTTCACAGGCTCTGTATGCTCAATATCATCTGTAACAACCTTGTTCCTGGAGCAGATGAGGAAGGGAGGCAGCTTTTACCTGCCATGGGGCTGTGCCATTCCTTGTGTTATGGACTGTGTCCTGGTTATCCAGTGAGGTTCTGCTTGGCTCTAAGCAAAGAGGAGCTTCCCCACCCCTATCCTGCAGTAACTATCCCTTGAAATATGAAGCCTGTTTCACATGTGCAGCACAGGCTGTGGGCATCCAAGCTGAGACTTTTGACCACTTGGACCCCTCCCCTGTCTGTTCCATACTGATCCCAGTCCCTGCTCTCCTCTGAGGGCATGAAGCTGGGGATAGGCTCTCCTAATCCTCTCATTCCTGCACCAAAGTGGTGTGATGGCCTAGCATGCCACATGCGTGAGCAGCTCTTCCTCTACAGCCCCTGTCAGCCTTAAGGGAAAAGGGGAGTGGAGGCTGTTGGCTCTCACACCCGGCTAAGATGTCACCTTGGGATAAGGTGGGCAGCTACATGCACCCCTCTAGCCATGGGGCTGCTGGATGTGGGTGAGCCCCTGACTGGGTGCCCAGGTAAAGGAAACAGCTGACACTGGCATTGCAGCCACACATGCTTCAGCTTGGTTTCATTGGCTTTAGCACTTTGGCTTGCTGAAACCATCTGGTTTTGACGTAAATCCCACTATTGTCTCTGCCTCTATTGTCCCTGTTTCCTTTGTGCTGCTCCAAGTCTCTAAGCAGTTCTGGTGCATGAGAACTGCATTTTTTCAGATGTAGGTGAGTGGGAGGCTCCAGCAGTGGCTGGATGAGTTGTTGTCCCTACAGGGCAATTTAGGACATTGCTGGCCAAAAGACACTGAGCACACGCCCTGTGAGCTGGGAATCCCAGGGGAGCACTCACTTGAAGAATGAAACGCTACCTGGAGAGCTTACCCAAGCGCTCAGGAATGCAACCTCACCAGCAAAACCAAGATTTCCAATTACCTTTGGGATCGGATATTGAGTAGGGGCAGGAGCTTCATCTTTGTTGAAGTCAGTCACAAGTCCACATTTTGGCATATCTGATTTCCAGATACCTTCCAACAGCTGCCCCTTATCCAAGTAGAAATACATCCCTGGGCCATGCTTTTTTCCATTTTTCCAGCTTCCTTCGTACCGATGTTTATTGGCTGCAATTAAATACATGAACAGACCATGAAATTTGCACCATTTCATTAACAGGCTACAAGCAAAACCAACCAACACAGGAAATGGACAGAAGAGGAAATGTTCTTGGCTCTTAGTAATTTTAAGGGGGCTCTATTTGCTGGGCCACTGAGGGAGGAAAGGCTGTGGAAGGAGCCCACACTTGCCTGCTTGGCACACAAACTGTGTTTGCTTGCTTTGTTCTTCTCACAGTGATATCATTTTTTTGCTGATATATGGAGCTCAGGGTAAGGGAGTAGTCACTGAGTCACTCTTTACAGCATGGGAAATTATAGGATGTAAGTTTTAGGTTTGTCACTGCAACAAATCACACAGGATCTGTGGCTCGGAGAGGTTTGCTTGTCTGGGCATGGAACAGCAGCATTGTCTGACTGTTGTCCATTCAAAATAATCTTGATTTCAAAGAATACTTGTAGCTATGTTTTTCCTCAATGAATTACAGGGCAAGAACTGCTGAGTGTCTGAATGGTTCAGGCAATCAGTTATAGGCTGTTTTTCCAGCTTTACTGTATCTCTCAGTGTTCTCCTGCAAGTTGAGAGAGGACTTTTTAAGGCTCTGCGCTGCTCTCCAGGAATCCATCCATCACCAACAGGAAAAGCAGAACTGCAAGGGGAAGAGGGCAGCCTCATCCAGCGATGCTGGTTGAGAAGGGGCACCACAACCATGGTAATGTTTTGGCTTGGGATACATCCAGGCCACCTTGTTGTCACTATGAGAGTCCTCTGCTATCCCCTTCTACATAGAGTGTTTCTAAGTCAAAATCCATGGGGATTTCTGACCGAGTTGTTTAGTGGAAAGATTTGTGGGTCTTAGCTGAACTTGGCTGTTCTTTGTGGCAAGAGCTGGCCAAAATACCAGGGCACCCCACACAGTGCCACAGAGGTAGGGGCACAGAGGAGCCTGGGGACTGCCAGGCTCCTCAGGCAGGGGCTGGTTTACAGGCTGGAGCCATGGCATTGGTTATCTTCAGCTTGGATCTGGTGGTGTGCTTATGTGCAACACCAACCTGCCCTGCCCACTGATGGGAGCAACTTCTCTCCAGCCACTGACATCTCAGACACCACCAAAATCACAGACCAGGCTATGATGGAGGGACCACTGAATGCCCTGGCTGCACCATGGCACCTGCCTTCCCCTTCCACTCTCCTCCTAGAGCATCCAAGAGCTGTGTTGCTCACTAGATCCCTGCTGATGTGCAATGTTCTAGTTTAAAAGCCATTTGGCACTGGGCTGTAGCAGAGCAGTGCTCCCAGCCAAGCTCACCCTCGCCAGGCACGCTGCCACTGTAAGCAATTCAGTCTTGAGCTGCAGCTCATCGTGACCTCCGCTTCAGAAACTCAGTTCCTTTCACCATCTCAAAGCTGCCGGCACATGGGCACACTTCCAGCAGGCTGAGCTGAATATACTGAGGTTGTGGGTATGAAATAATTGCTCTGGCTAATTTTAACCAAAAGGAATCTAGCTTGTAAGTGGCTCCAGGCTATGCTGGAGGCAACCAGGCTCTGAAATGGTTCATCAGCTGCAGCTCAGCCTGCAGGGGTTTTAAGTTTATAGCAACGACTTTGATGGGAACAAAGCAGATCAGTGGAAGGAGTGAGCCCCGGAAGTGGGTGCTGATTTCATCTGGATGAGCCATCAGTCCAAAGTGACTTTACAGTCAGCAGAGAGAACACAGTCATGTCTGTGATGTGCAGTCAAGGTCGTGCTCATTCCTCCCAGCTGCTTTGCTTAGGTAATTACCAGCCTTGAGATCACTTTCAAGCAAAAAATAGTATAGATGAACAATAATACAAAGAGAATATTTATCCAAATGTCCCTGGAATGCTGAGCTTGGTATTACAGAGGATTGGGATTCTTGGGTTTCTTTGCAGGAAAAATGCATTAAACTCCATGCAAAATAAGGGGAGGGAAAAAACCTCCGAATTCCTATTTTTATGCTGAGATAGTCCCCAACATTCCCAATCTGTAATGTGCTCAGTGTTATTTCTGAGAAGGGATTGTGTACTCCTTGAGACAAGGAGGCACAAAAGCACAAAATGTAATCAGTTCTAAGTAATGTTAAATTTGATGGCTTTGTAATGGAAAACAAGGGCGGTGCTTGAAGGCAGTTGACATAGTTTCAGGTCCTTTACACCTTACAAAAGGTGTAAGAAAAGCAGAATAGAAAAACAGGACCTGGGGATGGGGAGTATCTGGGACTAGCAGATGTCCAGGGTGGGCACAGTAAAACTAACTGGTAAGTGGAAGGACAGGATGACTGCTATGTTCCTGGTGTTAATAAACCCATTAAACTGGTGTAAACATCTAGTGGGGAGTATCAGGGACTAGCAGATGTCCAGGATGGGAGCAGTTAAACTAACTGACAAGTAGAAGGACAGGATGATTGCCATGTCTGTAATGTTAATGAAGTTGGTTATGAAGATTGGTGGCAAAAGTAAACGACCCTTAAAGACCACCATCACATTTTTGTATGCATGCAGGAAACTTTCTGGAAAATGATGTAATTCATGTGTAGCCCCATAAATATATATGTACGGCCAGTGACCATATAAGGATGGCCTCTATAGCAATACGGGGACACACGTTAGGAGGAGCTATCCCCCGTGTCTCCCGGCGCCGCAATAAAGAATACCTACTCGTCAACTTGAAACTCTGTTGGCGAGTTTGTGCCTGGAGTTTTCTCCGAATCATCCTGAAACCCCTGAGTTCACTCAGCATGAGCCAGTATTGGAAGTAAGAGAGGGGATGGAGTGACCTCAGAAAGAAAACTCTTTTTTTTTTTTTCTGTGCTGGAAACTGGACTCTTTGGTATGCAGCAGTTAGAAAGCATGTCTGGCAAAGTGCCTGGCTTGAAAAGAGAGATTTGCTCTTCTTTGCCCTAACAGTACATTATCTCTAACCCTAAGCATCCCAGTCATTTAAATGTAAATCACAGCAAAACCAAGCTTTCAGGCATGTGGGCTTGAGCTGGCCCTTGAGCAGCTTGCGCTGCCTTAACCCAGGAGGGGAATACAACATGGAGCAGGCGCTACCCTGGTGCAAGGCTGCAGCAGGAGATGTGATGTAGCATACAGAAATCCGGATGGCAGAGACATCCAGAGAACAGCACCCAGCACCTTGAAGGGAGCAGGCAGATTCCTGGGGTGAGGACGATTGGTACTTACGCAGATGCAGTGTTCCCTGCCCGTGGGGTTTGTCCAAGAGCCATTGCCCCTCATAGACGGATCCATTCAGGTAATTCATCCGTCCCCAGCCGCTCCGCAGCTCAGCGCTCCACTCGCCCTCATAGCGCTCCCCATTGGGGTAGATCATCAGCCCATAGCCCTGGAAATCAGCACAGATATAGCTATTAGGAGCCTCTGTATTGACAGGGGTTGGTGTTCAACTTTGGGATTATCACTGTCTTGATACACTACTCCTGTGCTTGTTGCTCTGTCACATGGCTGCTGGCAGCCCAGCTGGGTGGCTGGTCTTGTGTTGAAGGAAACAAGAAGTGGTGGTATGGGATTTTGGGGGACAAGTGACTTTATTCCCATGACAAAACCACGGGTTTATATCTCATTGTGTTATTACTAGCACAATTGCCACTAATATTTAGCTAAAAGCAGGTTTTGCTAGCATGTAAACTGGCCTGGGATAGACAGCATTAAAAAGAATCTCTCAACATGGGGATTTAATGCCTTTCAACCCTGATTTCCTAATGGGACACACCAGGCTTGCTACTGCCTGGTGTGTCCCAGGCCAGGCAACTCCTTCCCTTGGCGCTGGGCACGCCAAGGGTCTCTTACGCTCTCCTCCATCTGTACCCCCCAACGCAGTAATGTCCTAAAATGCCCCTCACTTTGCTTCCTTCTTCCCAAGGAACTAAAGCCAGGCCTGAAGGCTGCCTGTGGTGTGACCAGCCAGCTCAGGCAGCACTGCCATGTGTGGCTCCCCTGAGCCAGGGCAGGCACCATCCCAGCAATGAATATACCCTGTGATATTACAAGAGACTGGATCCATAGAGCTGCATGCCAATTACAAGGCTACAGATTTAAGAGCAGACACAAAGGTGAACACAAGAATAGTTCCTACAAGGATTTTGCACGAGATTGCAGTCGTTTTACCAGATGACTTCCTCATCATGTTCCCTTTAGAAAAAAACAGTGATTTATGTGACAGGCTTATTTTCCAAAAGAACTCATGTTATTTGTCTAATGTGCTGTAAAATGTACATTTTCTTGCAGCGCTTATAACACAGGTTCCTCCAACTGCTTCAAGGGTGAGAGGAATGAAAGGGATGGGTGGGGAGGGTTAAGATATGGAATATGAAACCTCTTATCCTGCTTGGCCAGGCTTCAGGAGTCTGAGCAGTGATCACTGCTGTTTGGCAACTGGAGGGAGGTTGGGGCTGTAGCCTGATCACCAGGGATGGGTGGGATGAGTTCCCCTCCAGTGGGGACACAGAGGGCAATGGTGTGTTCTTAGCCACACTTGGCTGTTTATGAATGATGGATATTTACTCCTGAAGCTTCCTGAGCTTTCTGTAGGTTCAGAATAAGATTTTAAGAGAACCCAAGCCTGGAGGAAAGGCTGTTTCCATAGCTTCTACCTGGAGACACACTGCTGCTTCCCTATTGCCAGACGTGGGACACAATGCGGCCCTTGCAGCATCTGACATGGAAAAATGACTAACAGCAGGAGCAGTGAGTTGGGGAGAGCAGGGAGAGAGGGCTTAAAGACCAGAGCTTTTACTCTTGCTTTCATTTCCTTTTTTCCACCCATTTGTTTAGCCAAACCCCCTCAATTCAGCCTCAGTATTGGAAAAATTAGTATTTTAAGTGATCTTTTTGGACATGTGCACCTGCCTCTTCCCCATGTTTTGGAGGACGCTGCTTCAGCACTGGCATGCACAGGAAATATCACTTACACATTTTTGGTCGTTTTCCCACCAGCCTGTGTACACCCTCTTGTATTGCTTGGTTACAGGGTCAGGAATGCTATATGAGCCATAACCATCGCGCTTCCCAAACTTCCAGTCACCGCTGTAAATAGCTCCAGTGCTTTTCCATTTCTGGATGCCTTTGCCTATTTATCAAACAAGTAGAACGATGGGATTGTTAGGAGAAGGGATTGTTAGTAGAAGGGATTACAGGGCTGCCTTCCTACAGTTCCATGCCAGAAATGGAGCATTCACAACCTCCCTGGGCAACCCATTCCAGTGCCTCACCACCCTAACAGGAAGGAATTTCCTCCTTATACCCAATCTAAACTTGCCCTGTTTCAGTTTGAACCCATTACCCCTTGTCCTGTCACTGCAGTCCCTAATGAAGAGTCCCTCCCCAGCATCCCTATAGGCCCCCTTCAGATACTGGAAGGCTGCTATGAGGTCTCCACGCAGCCTTCTCTTCTCCAGGCTGAACAGCCCCAACTTTCTCAGCCTATTTTCATACAGGAGGTGCTCCAATCCCCTGAACATCCTTTTGGCCCTTCTCTGGACTTGTTCCAACAGTTCCATGTCCTTTTTGTGTTGAGGACACTAGAACTGCATCCAATACTCCAGGTGAGGTCTCACAAGAGCAGACTAGAGGGGCAGGATCACCTCCTTCAACCTGCTGGTCACACTCCTTTTGATACAGCCCAGGATACGGTTGGCTTTCTGGGCTGCAAGCACACACTGCTGGCTCATGTTCATTTTCTCATCGACCAGCACCCCCAAGTCCTTCTCTGCAGGGCTGCTCTGAATCTCTCCTCTGCCCAGCCTGTAGCTGTGCCTGGGATTGCTCCCACCCAGGTGTAGGACCTTGCACTTGGCATGGTTAAACTTCATGAGGTTGGCATCAGCCCACTTCACAAGCGTGTCAAGGTCCCTCTGGATGGCATTCCTTCCCTCCAGCATATCAACCGAACCACACAGCTCGGTGTCATCGGCAAACTTGCTGAGGGCACACTCAATCCCACTGTCCATGTCACCTACTAAGATGTTGAACAAGACCGGTCCCAACACCAATCCCTGAGGGACACCACTCGTTACTGGTCTCCAGCCAGACATTGAGCCATTGACCACAACTCTTTGTGTGCAGCCATCCAGCCAGTTCTTTATCCACCGTGTGGTCCATCCATCAAATAGATGTCTCTCCAATTTAGAGACAAGAATGTCATGTGGGACAGTGTCAAACACTTTATACAAGTTCAGGTAGATGACATCAACTGCTCTACCCCTGTCCATCAGTTCTGTAGCCCCATCATAGAAGGCCACCAAATTGGTCAGGCAGGATTTCCCCTTGGTGAAGCCATGCTGGCTGTCACCAAGCACCTTGTTGGTTTTCATGTGCCTTAGCATGCCTTCCAGGAGAATCTGCTCCAAGATTTTGCCAGGCACAGAGGTGAGACTGACTGGTCTGTAATTCCCCGGGTCATCCATTTTCCCCTTCTTGAAAATGGGGGTTATATTTCCCTTTTTCCAGTCGTTGGGAACTTCACCTGGCTGCCATGATTTTTCAAATATGATGACCAGCGGCTTAGCAACTTCATTCGCCCCTTGATCAGGGGCTTCCTGTGTGTCCGTTGCTGAATGCACTTAAATCTTTCCAAACCTCACTTTACTGCTTGTAAACAAGCCTGTCCTGCTCTGGCACTCAGGGCTCGGTCAGGGTCTCTTTCCCCTTCTCCTTCTCCTGCAGAACCTGCCACAGCTTGAGGATAAATGAATATTCCTGAAGCCAAGTCAGGAGATGGGAGAGCTCCAGGGACTGTGAGCCAAGGCACATCCCGGTGTGTGGAGCTGACTGCAGCTTGCTGTGTTTGCAGAGGATTTTTAGACGTTATAACCTAGATATTTTGGGTAATTGCCCCTGAGTGCATGTAAAAGCTCTTCAAGTTACCATTCAGAAGTATTTCTGAGTAAACTTTTGCATGACATATATCAAAGATATATACAGATACATGAATGAATGCTCTTCCAGGAGCGTATACAACCCCTGATCACTCACTGCCTCTAGGAACACCCTACAACACCTAAATTAGTACTTTTCCTCAAAATGATCCATCTTACCATGTTTCAAGTTGTCCTGCCATTCTCCGGTGTAATTATCGCCATTTACATCATAAACTGTGTGTCTTAATCCATGTTTCTGTGCTTTCCGGTCCCATTCATGCCAGAGAGGCTCTCTAGTTCTTGCTTTTTTTACAAGAGGCATATTGTTCCTGGCTGGACAGAAAAACAAACTGTTGTCATCAATAAATTCGAAATTACTAAGACAGGTACAGGCAGAACAGTCTATTTGTGAGCTCTGTTTCAATATTCACTCAAGTCAGTGATTGCTGTCTGGTTTTGGAGGGGTAAAACAGAGAGGGAACAAACAGAAGGTATCTAAAGATACTGAAGTACAAACTAGCACTGTGTGAAAACAGGCTCACAGCACAGCCTGGCCTGCTAGGAGATCTTAAGTCTCAGCAGGTCGAGTCTGCGGTGGGTATCAACCTCTGTGCCTGCCAGACGCCTTGGGAAGCACAGGGAAGGGAAGCCTATTCTCTGTACAGCTGAAACCTTGCTGGGTTCCTTCCCATGGCTGCTCCTCCAATGGCTCTGCGTGAAGCAGAACCAGTCATTTAATCAAATTGAAAAATGATTCGTTTTCTAGGAAGTATCTCAGGGCATTGTAAAGCATTCACGAGATAGAGCAGGTCAGAGTTGGCCAGTGTCCCTGGGGCCACCAGGAGCTGGGACACTTCAGATGCCCAGCAGCAATGAAGCTAAAGCTCTTTTACTGCTAAAAATATCCTGCAGGTGTCTGGTTAAGAGGGGTTAAACCCACAATGTTTCTATGTACCACGAGGCTGCAGCTTGCCCAGGGCAGGATAAGCAAGCTGCCAGAGGTGGTTTCCTACAGACCATACATAAACCGCCAAAAAGTGGCTGTAGACACAAAAAGCAAGTCTCTATGCAGGCCGACAACACTCAGAGCTTGGCCGGAGCTGGCGGGGTGGGATGCCCTCTGATTTTGACTCCCGGGCTCCCCCTTCTGTCCTGAGTTTCTGTGCAGACCCATGTCGTGGTTTAAGCCCAGCCGGTAACACAGAACCACGCGGTCGCTCGCGCAATCTCTCCCCCCACTTCTGCTTCCCCCCGCTCCGGGAAGGATGAGGAGGAAAATGGAAAGAACGTAAGTCCCTCGGGTTGAGGTAAGAACAGTCCGGTAACTCAGGTATAATACAAAACTACTACTACTACCACCAATAATAACAGTGATAACAGAAAACACCAAGGGCAGAGAAAACAACCACTCAAAGCCAATCAACACCCAACCATATCCTAACGACGATCTGGCACTTCTGGCTACTGACCCCAGCTTATATACGGGCATGATGCACAGTGGGATGGACTTCGGCTGGTTTGGGTCAGGTGGTCTCTCTCTGCCTCTTCCCGGCTTTCCCTCCTCCCTGGCAGAGCAGGAGATTGAGAAGGTGCTGGATCGGAGTAAACATCGCTTAGCAACAGCTGAAAACATTGGTGTTATCAGCGTTGTTCCCAGACTAAAGTCGAAAACACAGCACTGTACCAGCTACTAAGGAGAAAAATGACTGCTACTGCTGAACCCAGGACAGATCTATCCAGTGATTCTGTTGTTTCTCTCCTTTCTTAGAGCAGAGCTCACATGCCTGCTGTGCTGTGGGTGCTGTGGAGCCAGCACGGGTGAAAGCATGGCAGCTTGGGAGGAGAGGGGAAAGAAGGGTGTTTTGGGTTCTTGCTAAGCAATAAAAGCTAGAAGTTATAACTAAGAAAATACAGTTTGTGTTCATCCTCAGTTTTCCACATGGCTGTGGTAATGGTCATTCAACAGCTACTTGGAGGGATACCATTGTTAAAAAATGTACTTCTTTGTCCATGATGAGCTATCCCCGCCTAAAAAGCAGCTGAGTTGGGCAGTGTGTGTCCCACATACTGCAGAGGATGGTCTTTTTGCAGTGCAAACACAGGATACGCTGCAGCTGCTAAGTTCCTCCTTCACCTCTGTGTGCTGCGACCCCTTGAGAAAGGGGCTCTTGACAATATTGATCAAGGGCCAAGGCTTTGCAGGACACAGAGCTGTATGTTTCCATCTCATTTCTGTCTTCCCCTTGCTAAGGGAGCAGAAGAGCCAAGCTACAGCTGCATGCACCCACCCCAACATGGGCTATGACACCCAAGCATCTCATGGCTGTGAAGAGAGACATCCTCACCACACCCAGATGGGAGCATCACCGCCCCACCACCGCATCTGACCACTTCCTTAGCTCAAAGCTTAGGATTTAAAAACTCCAGGGACAATTCCCAGCTGCAGGGGCAGCCACAACACCCCACTGTGCCCTCCAAGGCACAACCCACACTGAGCAGCCAGGGCTTTGCAGGCTGGTGGGAGCCAACTTTGTTTGCTGAATCCTTTTCCAAGTTTATGACAGTGATACCAGGTTTGTGTAAGTGATAACGTAACTGGTATTTGTTACCCTGGATGTTTTTAGCCACCCACTGCAAGGGTGTGGGGAAGCTGGCAGTGAGAACTGGCAGCGCAAGGTCGCTCCAACCTCCCAGCAGTGGCTGCAGCTCTCAGTGCTGACGGCTAGAGGCTGCTCCTCCCATGCGTTTCTGCAGCTGATTCTGCGCTTGGGGGTGATCTTACAGAGCCCCGTGTCCTCCTCCAGACAGTGCTCTGAGTTTTATCAGGTCTCTGTTAAATGCAACTTCAGTTGGCACACCCTACAGGAAAACTATTTTTTCCGTCTTTTTACAGAACGCCAGAGCAATGTGATTTAGCTACAACTATACTTTTTTCCATCTTATATCTTAACGAAGAGCAAGATGGAGAATACACCTGGCTGCATAGAAGGGGCAGCACCATGCCTGCCACCACACTGCATCCCCGCCTGCAACCTCTGCACCAACTCTGTCTGACAATTACCCAGGCCTGGGTGAGTTCACCCCACTCACTGACCCCCACACCACAGCATTGTCCTGTGCCAGAGTTCTTTTGCCGGCAGCCTCCAGCACAGCCGAGCCACCCCCAGCCACTCCTCGGCCCCATAGTGCCTCTGTGTGGAAAGCTCAGGCTGCCGGCGCAGCGATGGGAGCGGAAAGCACCTTCAAGTCTGCACACCCCAAAAGCCACCCTATGGACACTGACCTGCGCTGGGTTCAGGCTGGGTGCTCCGGCTGTATTGTCAGGGTCGTCATAGCAACTCTGCCAGGCTCCTGCGCGAAGGGTCATGGGAGCGGCTGGATTGCGGCTGCGGATGGAGATGGATGTGGTGGTACATGGGGCTCACGAGAGATAGAGCTGGAGCCGGAGCCGTCAAGCGCACGCCACTCTGTGGAACTGTGTGTTTGCGAGTTGAGGATTATCCTGCAGGATATGAAAAGCTGATAAGGACCAAGTGTTTCACCTCTGCTTGTTCTTTTTAGTACATGCAGCAGCAGAAGGCTGGAAATGAAAGCACTGATTACAGTACTGATGGGTAACAAAGAAATCAGCCTTGCAAATGGCAGAATACAAAGGAGAACCCACCTGAAAATGCACATCAGAGTGCTTAAAAGAGAAATCTGAATAAATCTGACACTAATTCCCACATCCATTACACTTCTTCTGCAGCCCCAGCGAGAAGGGATTACTATTATGGTCTTGTGGGTGTCTGTAATAATCTTCCCTAACAGGTAATTAATAGTGCATATTTCAAATATAAACCAAAGTTCTTGTGTCACTCCCATGAGCCAAAGGTACTTGTTTATTCCCATCCTATTACTGCATTTTTGGTACACAACACAGTGTACCAGGATGGATGGTTAGATGCAGGCTGGATGGTAGAAATTTTGAGATAGGTGGGGGATGCTGGAGCCTCTGCAGAGGTGGGATACAGCTTGGTATTCTCTGATGGGTACCCGTGTGCCATCTTCAGTGCCTGTAGCATTAAAGGTGGCTTAAACACTGTGTCCACACTTGGTTAGGACAGAAAGTGCACAGGAGGAGATGGTGAGTGCTGGGGTAATGTGCAGTTTCAGCTGGAAGCAGGGAAAGATCTTTCAGGTTTGATGGCAAAAGGGAGTAACAGGGAATATGGGAAATAGTGAAGCTGTAAGGCTGTTTCATCCAGGACTGTCTCTGCTGCAGTCAGGATGGGCAGACGATGGTGCAGCTGGGCGACTCTGCATCTCCCTAAATCCAGGGATGCAGGATGCAGGTGGAAGTCAAAGACTTCTCTAAGCAGGAAAACCAGACAGAAGTTGATGAATTTAGGGAATACTTATAAAAGAGAAAATATTTCCTGTCATTAAAAATGAAATGAAGATGCTCAGGAAGGATTTATTCCCACTCATCCACTTAAACACGCTCTGGTTTTGGGCAGAGCCTAAGAATTACTGAGGACAATCATTCCTGTGTTTTCCTGTGGCCAGTTGTATGGGGGAGAGTGGGGACAGGGGTTTGTGAAGGAAATGAAAGAAACCCATGAGGGAGAAGAAAAAATGCTTACTGCAGCCCAAAAACTACAGCCTTAAATTACAACCAGAAATAGCCCCTTCAGGAAAAGTACGATTTTGAGTATTTCAGCCCTATATTGCACTGCAGTAAACTGAGGGTTTGTCAGTTGAAATAATCAGCTCATTCAGCCCATTTCACTTGTTTATTTTTAAACAGCACAGGCTGCCCAAGGTTTTTGAACTGCAAGTCCAAACTATGTATCACCCAGCCACAGCTTTTGCTGACCAGAAGTTATATACATGTTTGAAACTCAATATATATTTGCTTGATCCATGACTTACAGAAATACAGACTGATAGTGGCACAGGAAAAGGTTCAAACAAAACCACCTTGGCATTATTTAGGGTGGAAGTTATATGAATATCTGTGGACTTACGGTATGGTCATCAGGAACTGTTATTCTCACTCAGCTGCACTGAACTCATATACTTAATCCACCAAGTTTCCAGCCTCTTTCCTGGTGGGATCCGTCACCCCTGCTCAGCAATAATGATACTGATCGGATCAGTGGAGTCTGGCTGGCGTCGGATGGTGCCCAGTTGAATGACTCACATGAAATTAATACCTCATTTTATGTAACTGATTTGTTTCCCCTTTGCCTAACAATTAGTAATGACACTGAGAATGGTTGTGTTCAAATACAACCTCAAAAACACTTGATTGCTCGGGAAGGTCAGATTCATTGTTCATATATACTTGTCACTATTCCAGGAATAAAAGGGATGAATATCAATTTAATAAAACATCCTGGGCCAGGCAAATTCCTGATCTCTCTCATTGTAGACTTAGCAAATTAACATTTACCTCACCTATGACATGGAATGCATGCCTGGGAAGGCATCCTGGAAATCAAACACCAGCAATTGGGACCCTTATGAACAATTATGGGATAGAGAACTAAATACCACAGTACCCTTTGGTGAACGTAACCACAGTTTGGCATAGCCTAACGGGGGATCAGCAGGAGCTGTGTTGTGATATTTTGAGTCTTTAAATGACACAGTGTCAGCTTTGCAAACAAATATTTGGAGACTGGGTTTTGCCTTTGTGGAAAGGCAATTGCAACATTTATTTTTAGATAATGTCACAGACAATGTAACAGAAGCAACTAAGGAGAATGTTGTTATTTGTGCCACACATCCGTGTATTTTTGCTTTGGCTAAAGATTTAATGATTGTTAGGAAAAATCGCTCGTACCATATGAATCTAACTCATGAAAGTTCTCACACAGGTGTCTCTAACCATATTAGAAGTCAACCTTTTAAAAATCTGATTGTATTACAAAGGCAATCTGAAATGTGGATTCCTGTGAATTTAACAAGTTGTGGATTTAATAAAATGTGGATTCCTGTGTCACTGGGAAGAAAGTGATGGGTTAAGTCATTTTACTAGGATATTACAGGAAGAATTAGGTTCCCTTAGAAAAAGAGTAAAGTGTTTTCTAGAATGGTTAATATTTGCCATTGTATCTGCCATCATTATTTTAACCTCTACCACAGCGGCAATCTCAGCCTTAACTGAGTCCGTTCGAACAGCAGAAACGGTAAGAGAGGTATTGACTGATATCATATCAGAATTACAAACACAGGAAAATATTGATAAAGAAATATTGGCTCAATTACAAGCATTAGAAACAGCTGTCGTGTGGATAGATCGGCAGTCAGCCATGCAAACGGAATTGTCTTTGCAATGTAACTGGGAACATAGAGCCAGAGAAATGTGTGTTACATCCTTACCCTGGAATGAATCAGAACACGCTGGGAGGTCGTTAAACAACACTTACAAGGAACCCTTGACTTTTCCTTGCAAACAGATATTCAACTGTCGCATGATTTTGAGGCCACTGCGAAAAGTAGGGTCAAAATCCAGGTTATGATGGGCTAGGAGGAGAACTTGGTTTTGCTTTGGTGCAATTTCCCTTGTTCCAGCTTTTTCAGACAAAATTAGGCTCCAAATCTCCTTCTTGGCTGGTTTTTAATTATTATTTTTAAACCTGCTTTCTTGTTTTATTCTCATAGACCTTGACCACTGAGGAGCACCAGCACAGCTTCCTCCATCTGGGATTGATGTAGCTTCAGTTCTGTTGCTGTTCATACCATTGTTGCTTCAGTTGTCTGGCATTTGATTAAACTCTACATTTATTAAGACCAAAAAGAAGCTCTTAAAACAGCTGGTGTAAATCATCCTTTTGCTTAGCCCATGAATCTGCCAATACAATTCACTGCAATAGACTTTCAGCTCTCAACTTTCTTCCAGGTTGGACACATCGAAGAGTAAACTGAGCAATGGGAGGGTGTGTGGGGAAACATGCCCAGGAACACTTCATTTGTGGAGCAAGGTCCCACTACATGTGATGTTTAAAGAGGAAGGGTTTTTTTCAATTACATAAACCCAAAGGACCTCAGTATTCTGAAACCAGTCATTCCTGCAATAAAAGGAGGCAGCTGCTCCAAGCTAAGTTTGGTCTCACAAAGCTTGGGGAATCACCCAAGTGAAATGCCCAAACCAACTGAAAACTGTCAGAATCAATAACTTAAGTTTATTTTGGGAACTTTGTAGAATAAATAGAAGGAAAACGTTTAGAGGAACATATGTTGGAATTCTTTAAAGGTGAGAAATGTGACAACAACATACTGTGGAAGTAGGATGCTCAGATGTGTGTCTTATTGCTGCTATGTTCCAAAGAAAAGCCAGAGGAAGAGGTGGGAGGGTCTTGCACACCAGCCAAGTGTATGTCAGGTTTAGCTGGATCAGCACCGAGTGGGTGCAACACTGAAGGAGTTACCCCACCACTCTGTTTCTAAGACTTATTATTAGCAGGGTTTAGGAGGAATAGAAAGAAGTGGAAGGTCTGAGATGTAAATGTCTCTGGTTGACTTTGGCTTCAGAGGCAGCTTTATGGAAAAGGGTTTCTTTCCAACTCTTCCCTCCTTTTTGCTGGGAGCAGCTCTCTCAGGGTACGAACCACGTTGGGCTGCAGTTTTCCACAGGCTTGCTGGATGAGCGGGTACCCTCTTCCTTTTTGCAGGCTCTGTGTTAAGGAGAGCACTGATCTGAAAACTCGGTGCAAAGTTAAAGAATGAACATTTATTAAAGTTATTTGAGTCTCTTCTTTCAAGAAATCTGATTTTGGAGCATGTTTGAGTTGTAGAATGAGAAACTGCAAAAAGCCCCAAAACTGCAGAAGTTGATAGTTAAATAAAACGAATGCTGAGAATGTGGATACGGGAATGTCAGTCACTCAGGGCTATAGCCAGTGATATATATGTGATGTGATATTTTATTTAATAACTCCTAGCTCAGAAATGAGAGTCCTTTTAAAATTGATAAACCTAATTAAAGTATGCAATTTCTATTCCTGGCAAGTCAAATTACATTCACCACGATAAACAAATTCTCTAGATCAAAGTAAAAGAATTCACTGTTATTTTACCTTGCTTTGGTTTTATTCCTGAAGATGTGATTGAAATAATGAGATTAGACAAACAGCTGTGATCTCCCAGGAGATGGAAAGAGATTACGGGCTCAGCTGAGGGGAGCGATGGCCGAGGGGAGCAATAGCTGAGGTGAGCAATGGCTGAGGAAGTGTGGCTGAGGTGAGTTATGGCTGAAGTGAGTGATGGCAGAGGGGAACGTGGCTGAGGGGAGCGATGGCTGTGGGGAGTGATGGCTGAGGGGAGTGTGGCTGAGGGGAGTGTGGCTGAGGGGAGCAATGACTAAAGGGAACATGTCTGAGGGGAGTGATTACTGAGGGGAAGGATGGCTGAGGTGAACGA